ATAAAAATATTCATGGGTTCAATTCAGTAGACTTTTATTTACAAGAAATAATATATCTCTGTTTGGGGACTTTCGTGAAGGAGCCCCCTTAATTTAAATAAATATATGCAGAAAATATGAAATTAATAATATTATACACACCTTGATATTCAAGATTCATTTGAAAACTTGATTTTTTTCCTCTGCCGTTAGTGCTGCTTAAATTGTTTTTACGTTTTTCTTTGTTTTTATCTTCATCGTCGTCTTTAGAAACATTCATTATTTGAGCACAATTAGGACTGGTGTTTAATCCTTTTACATGTATTATTGGGCCCTTATATTTAAAAAAGTTATTACTTACGGAATTATTTCCAGATAAAATACCTTGAATACTGTCACATTTATTTTTTTTTTTCGAAGTATCAGTTTTCTGTAATTATTTATTTGTAATTGTTTTATTGTCTACCATGAAACTAAGAATCTCAATAAATCAATTTATGGGTGCAATTTAGTACCTTTTGTCTCAACTTATTAGATATAGTTCTTGTTTTCTTACGTTTATACTCATGATTAGTTTTTAATTTTGAAGAAACAATGTCCGAGTTACTAAGATCCACTATCCTTTTAGTTTTCATGTTTTCTTGGAGCTCGTATTCCGTAACATTAAGCTGTTTACGTGCATCTTGCGCGTTTTTTTTCAAAGCATCTTTATCTGATTCAATAAGACCAGCAAACATTTCCTCTAACTGAGACTCAACTTCATTAAAAGTAACAGAAGTTCCTAATACATCAATTTTAGAAGTAGATTGAGGAAGAAGTTCTTTTATGTCACTACAAGATTTTCTTCGAAATCTTTCATTTTTCCTCAAGGGTCTCGTTGAACATTCGCTTTTTCTGCGTATTTGGGTTGGATCAGCTTTTTCTTTAATCTGTTGAAAATTATTTTCTTCAAAAAATTCATTCAACTTATCGCATTGCTCTGCAGTGAAATTTTTGCATTCATTTAGTGTAAAAAATGATTTCAAATTTCTAGGAAACTTATTTAATTGGCAACTTAAACTTTCATTAATCAGTGGAGTTGAATTCAGCATAAGGGTTTGACTTGCTAAATCGTGTTGAGAGTCAACAGATTTATGAATGTTTTCACTGTTTACTGGTAATGTAGATTGAGCAATGGTGAGTTTGGAAAAATCATCTGACTTTCCATCTTTAGCAAGTTTAAGTGGCTTGCCCAACTTACGCTTTCGTCTTTGTTTTGTTTCGTTTGAATCATCATTACTGAATGTGGGTGAAATGACATCATCTCGACAATAAGGAGATCTCGATTTACAATATTCAGGAGACATACTATTAATACTGTGAGAGTCTTTTTCTTCAGTGCTTATAATGCTGGGTACCCCAAAGTTATCTGAACTACAAGCCTTTTTGTTATAATTTTCTAATTTTTCTAACAATGAATCAACTCCATTCTTACACTTCTTAGATAAAAGTTTCGATGATTTAAAATTAAAGTTAATGCAAGATGAATTATCATTTTCCTTAATAACATCAAATTCCTTTTTTTGAGAATTTCTTTCTACTGCTAATCGAGTTAAAAATTTCTCTCCTAGTTGACTGCTCATTTTCTCCATGCTTATAACTTTCTGAATTTTGTAACCTGTGAAACAATTTGTTTGTATAAAATATCACATACTAAATTTTTAATACGAAGTATGTACCAAAAGTACGTAGTAAAAACGCTGCATTTAAATTCCATGTAATCAAAAAAATCTACATTTACTATGATTACTTAATAAAATCTCTAACCACATGCAAGTCAAATATTTTGAAATTCGTAGACTGCTTCAATTTTTTAATACTACATTCATTTTTGTAACTATATATATTGCAAGTTGAATAATTGCATAGAAGAGGTTGGCGACATTGTGCCCAACAGACGAAGAGCTTAGCCCAGACTCCAAAAAAGAGCACGAGAGCTTAGCCGAGACTGAATCAAAAATACCTGCCCCAACTTTTAAGGTCTACGCAGTAAACAACACAAGCATATGCGCAGAAGCATAGTGCACAAGAATAACATTAGTTGGTATACCTACCTACATACGTGATATACATCTGCACATGGTGTGCTTTACGTTTTCACAGACAGGTAGAGATAAGTATACCAACCAATGTTATTCTTGTGCACTAATGTGCCTATGCATATAGTTTTTTTTTTTTTTTTTATATTCATCATCGCCCCTTGAGGGCTCAGACACGGCTATTTTGACACTATAAAGTGTATTTAGCCATACGTTGGGTTTAATAACAGTAGGGGGAAACGGTAGATAGATCGGTAGGTTTATTGAAGTACAAATCTCATCCAGAAAAAAACCTCATTCATTGATGAAATTTTTGCCCAGAGAGGGATTTGAACCCCGCCCATCAAGATCTGTAGGCAGACACGCTACCGACAGAGCCATCATGTGGCTCTATGCATATAGTTAAGTGGTCGCGGTGGCGCCACGGTAAAGTTGCAGTTCCGTCGATCACCGAGGTTAAGCTGCATTTGGCGCGGTTAGTACTTGGATGGGTGACCGCTTGGTCACCGTTCGGGTCTCGCCGTTTCGCCTGTGCTCTTGATTCTCGAAGGTCAATTAACTGTTTCTCTGACGCGTCGTCTACGTGATCATATTCATAGGTGTGACTGAGTTGGTCCAGATGTTCATATGTGTATGTGTATATACACATCAGGTCATAACTCAGGTGCACCGGTGGCTAATTAACACTATGCTTGTGTAAAAGAATGCCATGACTGAGTCTACGGGCGATGATGAATAAAAAAAAAAAAAAAAAAATGCATATGGTTAGAGCAATGATGCGTAATTATAGCATCAGCAAAATAACCAGATGACACTTCGTAACATTGCAGTAGAAGCGATTTCCAACCTTTCAACCGTTTGAACTAATGCTCCCCATTCATCGAAAACCAAGATATAGGGCGATAAAAAATAAAAAAAATAAAAAAAAATTTTTTTTTGCTTGTTAACTGAACCACAGTCAACTACAAACTACTAACTACAGTCAAAAAAAAGATTACACCTAACGTATATCACACAATTTTTGCCAGTCGAAACGTACGGGCTGATTTAACATAGAATTAATTTAAAAAAAAATTTTCTTTTTCTTTTTTTACGTTTCGGCTGGCAAAAATTTTGTGAGATACGTTAGGTGTAACCTTTTTGTTAACTGTAGTTTGGTTCAGTTAACAAGCAAAAAAAAAAAATTTTTTTTATCGCCCTATATCTTGGTTTTCGATGAATGGGGAGCATTAGTTTAAATGAACGAAAGTTTGAAAATCGCTTCTGCGGCAATATTACCAAGTGTCACCCGGTTATTTTGCTGATGCTATAATTACGCATCATTGCTCTAACTAATGATTGTGTTTTTACAATGTAGGCTTTTACCATAGAGATATTAGAATTCTAATATCTCTATGGCCCTTACAAATACGTACTGTAAGAATCAGTTACATGGGGCTGAAATAGCAAGATCGCGGTAAATGGAGCGGAAATTGCCAGCGGAACGTTACAGCGGAACCCGATCAGACAAGCTATACCTTCGGCAACCAGGGGCGGCGGTTGAGGTCATAGGTCATAGCCATATGGGGAACTTTCTCAGGTCCGGGGGGGGCGCAAGAGATACCGTTAGCAGCAAGCTAATGCGTTAAAAAACCAATGAAGCTCGATAACGTTTATGTGTATATATATATACATATATATACATATATATATATATACACGCATTTATTATTATTATTATTATTATTATTACTATCGTCATAATTATTATTATTATTATCAATATTTCGTTTCCG